CTCCATTCCCACAGGGAGCCAACCTTCTCCTCACTCTCCAGGGAGATGTCAAGCTGGGTCAGTACCCTGGGGACACGATCAGGGTGAGGGTTCTGTGGACCCTCCCTGGCTACCCTGGACTCAAGGGTTGGGTGTCACTGGGCGAGTCACTTTGCCACTTGAGTCTCAGTTTCCCTGCTTAGAAGATGGAACGGTACTCTCTCCCTGCTGGAAGATGGAGGAGGTTGGGTCCGCACGGAGTTGACACGGGACCAGGCACTCCGTCAGGGATAGAGGGTGGTTGATGCCTCTCAGGAGAGGGACCTGGCCTTGCCTAGGGCCTGCGGCAGCTGTGACCAAGCAGGGCCACCTGCCCATTTGAGCCCTGCCAGGTGCAGCCGGAGCCAGAGCCCTGGGTGTGGGAGGGTGAGTGGCAGCCAGAGGGCTGGTGAGAGTGGCTGTTTCTCCCACAGCTGACTTTGGGGTGTCAGGCGAGCTGACAGCGTCTGTGGCCAAGAGGAGGTCTTTCATTGGGACTCCCTACTGGTGAGGCTGCGCCTAGGGCAGAGGGGCAGGGGCCACAGAGGGGGGCACCCGGCCATCCCATCTGTGACCCCACCTCTAGGATGGCTCCGGAGGTGGCTGCCGTGGAGCGCAAAGGTGGCTACAACGAGCTATGTGACGTCTGGGCCCTGGGCATCACCGCCATTGAGCTGGGCGAGCTGCAGCCCCCTCTGTTTCACCTGCACCCCATGAGGTCAGCCCAACACTTGCCCCTCACCTGACCCTTAACCTGCTGCCCGTGGCCCCTGACCTCGCGCCCTCCACAGGGCCCTGATGCTCATGTCGAAGAGCAGCTTCCAGCCGCCTAAACTGAGAGATAAGACTCGCTGGTAAGGGCCGCACCCTGCTGCCGGGACCCCCTTTTCTGTCAGCCCCGTAGTGGACAAGGAGCCTCTGCCAGCTCCCGGGGGGCAACCCCAAGAGCCCTGTCCTCTCTGAGCCACTACAGACCATCTGAGTGAGGGGCCTGGTCCTTCTGTGGGCTGAAGACCCAGCGTGGTCAGGAAGGA